ACACACACACACACACACACACACACACACACACGCACACGCACACGCACACGCACACGCACACACACACTCTCATGTCTCAGGCACATCAGCAGGGAAAAGTGATGGAGGCCATTTATGGTGCATCTGATGGGCAGCAGAGCCAGTATGAAGCTGTACAGGTTAAAGAACAGAGCATTCACACACAGCAGCCAAACTACACCAAAACATCTCAGACCAAAAGTGATTATAATCGGCTGTGAAATTTGACAAGTAATGCAAGTCATCTGAACTCTGTCCTGTACTGGAAAAGTATTTTGTGAGATTTACTATAGTATTCTATTATTATCATTAAATTAACATGAAAAAAGCATGGCACATGAATATTATCATCATTACATACTAAAGTTTTACCATTTAGTTTTTGGGGCTTCATTTGACCAATTATACATGGAGAAACAGAAAAGATTCTTCATACAGTTGATGTTATGGAGCACAGATGCAGCGAGGCTGTTAAAAACGTGACTGTTTAATGAGAGCAGCATTACATCTGGATTACTGTGACCTTTATAAAGCAGAATATAAAAGCATCACGGTGTGAGAGCCTGCCTTAAAAATAACCATGAACAGACAGTGACGATGATCACAGGGATTAAAAACAAATAACAACAACAATAATAATAATAATAATGATAAAAATACATATGAAAAGATTATATAAAAGCAGTTCTTAAAAACAACAAGCATTAACTGCATTACAAAAGATACTGTAAAAAAAAACAGCAAATAAGTCCTTCATGTTCTAGGCACTTTTACTTTTTGCACTTTTTGTTCACCTGATGAAAACAGTGCAGGATGTGTTTCTATTGCAGGAGTCTGAATGAAACCAACACTGGCCGCGTTAAAATCACAGAGACACAAAACCTTCATCATAAACTCACACAGTCCTCAAACGACGTCATGCATCAGCGCTTCTCAACCTTCATGACTCCAGTCACAATAATATCTGCTGTAATGCAAAAGTTATTTATTTATTTATTTTCATCTATGGACATTCCTAGTTTCTGTGCATTCAATTTCACGATTCCAGAAGTTTTAGGAGCTGAATGTTCCTCAGGGTTCCTCCTGTTTTAAACCAACGAATTTATCTGACTTTTCCAGTCATTTGTGATCCACTGGATCAGGATTACGTTTTTTTTTTAGCCTGGTAAAACTAGGTTTTCCTTTCTGGTTCTTAAAAGAAAAGGAAAAAAAACATAGTTGTTAAAGCAGTAAATTTTAATAAAAATAGCTTGATTTTTAACTGTTTTAATGCTTGTTTTGTCTTATTATAAATAATGTTTTTGAGACACCCCCACAGGACCTGGTTGAGAACCGCTGATCTAATCACAACACATCAACATGACACCTTAAGTTTGAAGTGTAATCTGCGTATCATCTAAGTTTGTCAGGTGTGTTTGAGAAAAACAATCCAGAAGGATTTTGCAGAGACGGACAGTGAACTGGGAATTACAATAATATGTGATTGATCATGGTTTAGAAATGTTCGCTGTCTGAGGCGTTGCATATTTATTTATTACAATAACACAGTCACCTGTGAGCACCTCAGAGAACAACAATCTCTGTCATCACACACACACAGGTCAATTAGTGAATTTGTTATCATATTATAGCTTTGTATGTCAATCTCTAACTTCATCATTAATCTCTGTTTCCCACATACAAGTGACTGAACTCCACTAATGATGTGTTTCGTGAAACATCATCCTGTGAAAACGCGCACGCACACACACACACACATGCACACACACACACACGCACACACATTTGTTTCTGTGAATTGTGGTGACTTTCCAGATATTTTGTCCCCACATTGTAGCATAAACAAGTACACACACATACACGAGCACACGCGCGCACACACTCGCGCACACACACACACACACACACACACACACACACACTCGCACGCACACACACTCATACGCACACACACTCATACGCACACACACTCATACACACACACTCGACTGTATGCACTGCTGATTCCAGTGCGTGACGAGAGCCGCAGGCGTGACGGGATTCCAGCATCATGTGTGTACAGTACCTCCTCCTGTGTCTGTAACCTGATGGATCTGTGATTGTCCTGCGCTGCAGAGGTCAAAGGTCGTCCTCGGGGTCCCTGAGGCTCCAGCGAGAGGAAGGAGCTTCTACAGAAGCGTAAACAGATCATTAATGGGACAGAAGCGTGTTTGATCCTGAGCGAGTCTCGAAGCAGACTCTCACGTCTGAAATGTGTGTGATTGAGTCTCTGATTGCAGTCGTGATCCTCTAGACTTTGGTGTCTGCGGGGGAATCAGTCAGAATCTGAAGGATCTCGCTGAACGTGGGCCGTTCTTTAGGGCTGGACGCCCAGCAGCGGCTCATCAGACTGCAGACGTGAGCAGGACAGTTCACTGGAGGAGACAAACGCAGAGTACCTGCCTGGAGACCTGAGACACAGAGAGACACGCATAAGACACACATGAGACACAGAGACACACATGAGACACAGAGAGACACGCATAAGACACACATGAGACACAGAGAGATACACACATGAGAAAGAGACACATGAGACACAGAGAGGCAAAGAGAAACACGACACACAGAGACACGAGACACAGAGACACACATGAGACACAGAGAGACAAAGAGACACACGACACACAGAGACACATGAAACAGAGACAAAGAGACACATGACACACAGAAACACACATGAGACACAGAAACACACATGAGACAGAGACACACAAGACAGAGATACACAGAGACACATGAGACACACATGAGACAGAGACACATGAGACACAGAGACACATGAAACACGTGACACACATGAGACACACACGAGACAGAGACACATGAGACAAATATGAAAGAGAGACAGAGAGACACATGAGACACAGAGAGACACATGAGACACACATGAGACACAGACACACATGAGCCACACACGAGACAGAGACACATGACACAGAGACACATGAGACACACGTGAGAAACAGAGAGACACACATGAGACACAGAGAGACACATGAGACACACATGAGACACAGACACACATGAGCCACACACGAGACAGAGACACATGACACAGAGACACATGAGACACACGTGAGAAACAGAGAGACACACATGAGACACAGAGAGACACATGAGACACACATGAGACACAGAGAGACAAAGAGACACACGACACAGAGACACATGAAACAGAGAGACAAAGAGACACATGACACAGAAACACACAAGACACATGAGACAGAGACACACATGAGACACGACACGACACAGAGAGACACATGAGACAGAGACACATGAGACACAGAGAGACACATGAGACACACACGAGACAGAGACACATGAGACACACATGAAAGAAAGACACAGAGAGACACATGAGACAAAGAGACACACGACACACAGAGACACATGAAACAGAGAGACAAAGAGACACATGACACAGAAACACACATGAGACAGAGACACATGAGACACAGACACACATGAGACACATGAGACACAGAGACACATGAAAATGAGACAAAGAGACACATGACACACAGAAACACACGAGACACAGACACACATGAGACACAGAGACACATGAAAATGAGACAAAGACACATGACACACAGAAACACACGAGACACAGAGACACACAAGACACGAGACAGAGAGACACAGAGAGACACATGAGACACACATGAGACAGAGACACACATGAGACACATGAGACACAGAGACACACATGAGACAGTGACACATGAAACACACGAGACACACATGAAAGAGAGACAGAGAGACACATGAGACACAGAGACACATGAGACACACATGAGCCACACACGAGACAGAGACACATGAGACACAGAGACACACATGAGACACACGTGAGACACATGAGACAGAGACACACGAGACACAGAGAGACACAGACACACATGACACAGAGAGACAGAGACCTACATGAGACACAGAGAGACAGAGAAACACATGAGATACACATGAGACAGACACACACATGAGACACAGAGAGACACACGTGAGAAACAGAGAGACACACATGAGACACAGAGAGACACGAGACACACATGAGACACACATGAGACACAGAGAGACACGAGACACATGAGACACACATGAAAGAGAGACACAGAGAGACACACATGAGACACACACGAGACAGAGACACATGAGACACAGAGACACACGTGAGACACACATGAGACAGACACACATGAGACACAGAGACACATGAGACACACGAGACACACATGAGACACATGACACAGAGAGACAGAGACACACATGAGACACAGACACACATGAGACAGAGAGACACAGAGAAGCACATGAGACACACATGAGACACAGAGACACACGAGACACAGAGAGAGACACATGAGACACACGAGATACACATGAGACAGAGAGACACACGAGACACACATGAGACAGAGAGACACAGAGAGACACAGACACAAAGAGATGCACATGAGACACAGACATACATGAGACACACGAGACAGAGACACACATGAGACACAGAGACACACAGAGACATACATGAGACACAGAGAGACACATTAGACACTATGATGATCTATGATGATCATCTTCAAACTCAGGGTTTCTGCAGTTATTAAAATCAAATTTAAGACCTGCACAAATAAATAAATCAGGTCAAATAAATCAAAATAAATCAAGTATTGTTTTACGTCATTAAACAGACTGTGTTTCACATTCAACTGCAAAACAGGGTAAAATACTCAATGTTTCATTCAATATTTACATATGTATTGAAATTGTTTCATGTACTAATATATTAATACATATTAATTAGAGGATGATTGATAATGGATTTTTCTGATACAATGATATGCGCCGATACTAGTTAAATCTCTACATTTAAATGTGTTAAATAATGGTCTTAGTCTTCCTCTACATCAAATTAAACGTCAAATACAGTTTATTGTGTGACCAAAATGCCAATAATAGCCAAAAAAAAAAAGAAATGTATAATGGGGGGCTTTTAATTATAAACTATAAGTCCAAAATACACCAGGACTGTTATTTTAAAATGTCTGCGCTTTATTTACTTATTGTACAATATAAACACCATGAAGTAAACACTGTCATAATTCATCAACAGTCGATCATAAGCAATTGTTAGTCATAAATGTGTAGCATTCATTAATTGTGAACAGCTCTGAAACGGCAATCCTGCAGAATGTACAACAGCGCCACGTTTGACTTCACACATGCAGCGCTCACATTTATTTAATTCATTGCCTTTTAAAGATTAATAATCACATTAAGCCATTTCACACTTCCTGTTCTTCCAGCCCAAAATTTAAGACCTCTTAAAATGATAATAAGACTTTTGTTCCATTTAAGATATTTAAAGTCATTCATACGAGGACACATGAACTTAAAAAATTAATGGTGTGCATGGATAAATCTTAAAATAAACACTGCGATATGCCATAAAAAATACAAATTGTCCATTTTGATTTTATGGTGACTTTTATGGCCTTACATGTGATAAAACAGAATTTAAGATTTTGAAGGACCCGCTTAACCCTGTAAATACAAACACTTAGTCCTTACTCGACATGATCGATATGAATATGATCAATATGCATTGACAGGATTGATGACGGACACAGACTCTCTCGATCACACAGCTGAGGAAGTCACGTCTGCTCACCTTCCAGCACCTGGTGGTCATTGAGCGCAGGGTACGGCAGCTCACCCAGACTGAACACCTCCCACATCAGCACCCCGAACGCCCAGACGTCTGCCTTACTGCAGAACTCACCCTCAAACACACTCTCAGCCGGCAGCCAGCGCAGCGGGATCCACACCTGCCTGTTCTGATAGTACTCGCTGAATACACACATACACACACACTCATACACACATACACACACACACACACACACACACACACACACACACTCACTCTCTCTCACACACACAAACACTCATACACATATAAATGCATACACACACACACACACACACACACACACACACACACACACACATATCAGCATGTGTGACTGAGCTTCATCAACACTAGATGGCGCGCTGCACGCAAGCAAGCAAATGTTTATTTATATAGCACTTTTCCAAACAAGTTAATGCAGTTCAACATGCAAGAAGGAATCAAATACAAAAACAATAGAATACACCAAATGCAAAATAGAAATAAATATTTTAGTTCTACTATAAGGTACAGTTAGAAGAAAATAATCTGAAGACCTGAGAGTTCTTCTGGGTTCGTATTCTATAAGCATCTTAGAAAGATAGTCTGGAGCAAGTCCTTATAAACTAATAAAAGATTTTTAAAATCAATACCAAAACTAACAGGTAACCAGTGTAATGACTTTAATTCAGGTGTAATATGATCTCTCTTTCTGGCGTTTGTCAATGTTCCAGCAGCAGTATTTTGTATTAGTTGTAGTTGATTAATTATATTCTTTGGTAGACCTGAAAGCAGGGCACTACAATAGTCAAGCCTGCTAGTTATAAATGCATGCATTCATTTTTCAGTATTGCTCAGTCTTATTTTGGCAATGTTCTTCAGATGATAGAATGCAGTTTTGGTAATATTACGTACAAGAGCTTTAAAGTTCAAATCTGAATCAAAGACAACTACTACATTTTTGGATTCAGTCCTAGTATATGTGACCCTGGAGCACAAAAGCAGTCTTAAGTCGCTGGGGTATATTTGTAGCAATAGCCAACAATACATTGTATGGGTCAAAATTATACATTTCTCTTTTATGCCAAAAATCATTAGGATATTAAGTAAAGATCATGTTCCGTGAAGATATTTTGTAAATTTACTACCGTAAATATATCAAAACTTAATTTTTGATTAGTAATATGCATTGCTAAGGACTTAATTTGGACAACTTTAAAGATGATTTTCTCAATATTTAGATTTTTTTGCACCCTCAGATTCCAGATTTTCAAATAGTTGTATCTCGACCAAATATTGTCCTATCCTAACAAACCATACATACATCAATGCAACAAATACAACCTCTGCAGCGGATCTCACAGCGCTTTAAAGATCCTAAAATAGACTGAAGGAGCTGGTACCTGAGATAGACGTCTTTACTCAGACTGAGTGCAGACACCTTCACGTGTCTCTGTCCGCTGATTAGACAGTTCCTGGCCGCCAGGTCTTTATGCACAAAACCCCTGTTTGATAAATGCTGCATCCCATGAGCCACCTGAGCACAGATGGAGACCTGCGGAGCACCGTGAACAACACAGTCACACGAGCTATTAAACACACTCAGAGACGCAGAGATGCTTCAAATAATACATAAACAGTCACAGGAGGAACCCACTTTAGTTCTAGTGCTGATGGGATGCGGCTTGAGTTTCTCATCGCTGCTTTTTGATATTCTGAGGAACTGTTTGAGATCGCCCTGAAAAACCAGAGAAAATCACTCATCAGCACGACTTCTTCACTATTAACACGGACACACTTTACTACATCATAAACAGATATGAACTCACATTCAAACATATAGAAAGTCATCATGCGCATGTGCATCAGATAAAAGTCCAACACAAACATGAAAAACTCCCCTGAGGAGGGGTGGATTGATTCAAGTAAAATTTGTGATGATTCAGGTTTAACCTTAATGTTCTGGACATTTTGACGCAGAGACGATTTTCTTTTTCCTGAAAATGCTAGTTTTTGTGGATTTTCCCCCACTTTGTTACACTTAAAAAAAAAGACCTGCCTATAAAAACTGATTATAAATGTTTCATTATTCTATATTATTACCAAATGATCCTCACTGATCTGAGCTCATGCTCCTCAGCTTTTGACTGAAAAAAAGCATTATTTGTGGATAATTTTGTCAGTGTTCACTCAAAAACTGAGGATCACTGAGGCCTGCGATCAATCAGTTCCAAGAAGAAATACAAAACCTGTGCTGATTGAAACAATTTTACAAAAAGAATGAATCCAAGATTTGGTGAAAATATAGCATAATGAGAGATTTACGAGGAGTTTTTTTAGGCTGGTCATTTTTGATTGGAAACACAGGATTAGGAAAAGGTTTTTCAGCAGCACAAGGGTTAAGAAGTGTGCAGGATTGTATGCTGACTTAGATTATTCATACTGCTAATTAAGTGAAAGAGAATTAGCACTCATGAAATGTGTGTTCTGTGTGTACATAAGCCAAACACATTCAAACATAAGAGTGACTGCTGCATGGAATTAATAAAGGACTTGAATGTGTTCAGTACCAGATCCACGTATTCCAGGATCATGTAATGAGGTTGGGTTTCTCTGCAGATTCCCAGCAGTCGTACGACGTGAGCGTGATTGAGTTTGCTGAACATCTCCAGCTCTCGTCTGAACTCGGTTCGGTGCGTTTCTTCTCGGCTCTCTAAACTCTTGACCAGCACCAGCGTCTCCGGCTCGGCCTCCTCTATCGCCCTCGCTTTAGCCAGAAACACCTCGCCGAACACACCACGACCTGCACACACACACACACACTCACACACACACACACACACACACACACACACACACTCACA